ATCTTTTCAATCACATCTTTTTGTTCTTGAAAGTGCTTATAAGACCTTATGTTTACCGTCTTATAAAGGTCTATTAACTAAATTTGGTGATAACGACTTTTATGGGGGCAAGGTTTTAGAGGCTGCAACAGGTTGTAGTTTGTCTAAAGGTTCTGGTTATAGTTTCTCCGTTGTTGTTTCTGGTACTTGTCTGGTAAAAATGGTCCAGAGTAGGTCACTAGACTCACTTTTAATTATGTTTCATCATGTCACTAGACTCACTTTTAATTATGTTTCATCATGTTGGCTTGGAAACTTGTTTAACTTCCGTTTGCTTTCTTTTCCCAATCTTACCCATCTATCTCCTCTTCCAAACATCGTTAGTTGCTTAAAGTTTCAAATATTGTCATCCAACTCGGTCAGCCACTAAATTCCCAAAACTATTTCTGAACTGCCCATTGGCACCATAAAAATGTTTGCTTGAAATTTTTTCCCCTGCGGTTGTGATCTTGCATGCTAATTCTTTTACTAAAGTTTTGTCAAGAAAGTTGCGATTGCTGCCTGTATCTGCTAGCAAGTGAACCTACCTTCTATCCATCATTCCCTTGATCCTCGTTGAATTTGTTGCACTTGTTGGTTTTATACTCCCTTAATGGCATACATGGACAACTGAAACTATTTCACTTCTTGTTCTCCTTCTAAAGTTTGATCTACTTCTTGATCCTCTATATCTACATGGTTAGCAGCTTCTTGTTCTTGCATTTATGATCTATGTGATTGTTTTCATTACAAAAATAACAAAGGCTCTTTAGTCTCTTCTCTCCCAATTCTTGTGAGCTCAATTTCATGGTACAAGTATTTGAGGTTAGTAAAAATCACTACTATTTCAGGTCGGTCAGACATCAGTGTGTAAAAGGTTGGCTTATATTGGTTTCACAATTTAGTTTGGCTTGCAGAGTTTACGGCTGTGATGGTATTCGGTTTTGCAGCAGAGGGTTTAGATTAATTAAAGGTATGGTATTTGACGTGGTTAGGGAATGATCATTTAAACGTTTCTTTATAAGGGTCTTTGTGTGGTTTGGCAATGTGTAGGTGCAGTGATTGTTACTAATGCCCTCAGTTTTGACTAACCTCAAATACTTTAGTGCATGGCTAAAAGAACCTCTTCCTGTAATTTAGCTAGCCAATAGGCTCGATGAAGGGATGTTTGGTAATAAGCTTTCACTAATGCCCTCAGTTTTTGACTTCACTCCAGTGACAAACAAGCTAATCTAATTTTCATGAGTGAGTGATACTATACTCACCAATACGTTGAATTACCGAAAGTATTCTTGCAGGGA